TACCTCCGTGGAAAATTTCCAAGGTTAAGTGAAGCTAAGATAAAGGAAGGTGTCTTTGTTGGTCCTCAGATTCGTGAACTTCTTCGAGATGATGCATTTGACCATACACTGCATGGCAAGGAAAAGATGGCATGGAAAGCCTTCCAGTTCGTGGCAATAAATTTTCTCGGAAATAACAAGGCAGACAACTGCAGGTTGTTGGTGGAAAACCTCCTCAAGGCATACAAAAGCCTTGGTTGCAACATGTCACTAAAGATACATTTTTTGCACTCTCATCTAGATTTTTTTTCCACCGAACTGCAGAGCAGTGAGCGACTAGCACGGCGAGCGCTTTCACCAGGACATTGCAACAATGGAGAAACGCTATCAGGGCAAATGGAGCCCATCAATGCTTGCAAACTATTGCTGGACAGTGACAAGAGATGCTCCATTTAATGAATACAAGAGACAACCCAAGAAGCGCCGAGTAGACACTCAGGACTAAACTATGTACATAGTTTTTTGCCTTTTGTTTCATAATATATTTTATTTATATAACCCTTTTGCTGATTTTTAAAGTGTTACATAAACAGGACAGGTGAAATATTATCATGTAAAGCAACCATAAACATATGAAAAGACCTAGGTTTACAATTTATGTCTAAAACTCTACTATCTACACAATATACATAGACACAAAATGTAAAAACTTAAATATCTTAGAAACAGTAGCCAATCAGTTGTTTTAATTGTCATATTTGAATTCAGCACATCAAAATACATAATATATAGCATATTTTATCTCTGAAGCAGACGACTTCTCAAAAATTGTAGACCAGTGTTATTGCAGGCATGATATTATTAGGTTTTTTAAAAAAGGCACTGTCAAGTTATCAGATTATAATATATTCTAATATTATTTTTATATATTAATTCTCTCTCTCTTACCTGACATTGGAAAACACATTAAAATTACATATCATGTAATAAAGTTGTCTTTCACATAGCCATTCTATTACAGGAATTATTTCCATTTCTTCTGCTTTGTGTAATACAGAAAACTAGAAAAATGAAATAAAAAATAGTCATTACTTCATCTTAAACAGGAGTTCAAGAAGCATTTGTTTGAGACATTATGGAGTTTCCACTATTGCAATACATAGTTTATTAACTACACAGTAAATCTGGCATTAACTGCTCTAATAAACAAAATCTGGTTAGTAATAGCAGCTGCATGGCAATAGCGGGCAAACAGAAAAACAGCAGCCGAAAGAGCTGATATGCTTGAGTGGGATTGTGAAGATCCTTTCTTCCAAGCTCTAGAGGATGCTCACAAATTATGTAGTATGTGCCCTTCTCAGTGTCTAAGAGTAGTACCACACTTCTGAATGTTTTGAGACCCTGCATGTTTGAGGTGAGAGAATAAATTAGGCTGGATATTAATCAAGGAGTCCTACATGGCAACATACTTTGTTACCAGCAGAGCTAACTGCAGATAGCCAAAATTTTGCATTTCAAAAGGTTTTTGTTTTTTCTACAACTCCACAAATATATCCCTCCTCTCTCTGTATTCCCATACAAATGGAAACAGCGTGTTTCATTGTTTGTTGACTGGAATACATATATAACCATCTGTTTCTAGCACTGTGACTTTCAATTCACATGATTTCTATGCTACTTAAAAAGAGTAAAATGTACAGGAGGTTTATAGGTAGCAAATTAACTGTTCTATTTTTCTTTCCTCATATTTAATTTCATTATAAACTTAAGTAGGTATGAGAAAACAGATAATTAACAGCTTCACCAATAAAGTACATTTATATAAAAATATATTTTCTGTTGCAATCAGTTATATGTAGGGATATAACAAATCAGTATTTATTACTGCTAAGTTATACTATTAGTAGCAAACAAGCATTTTTGAACCAACCTCTTTTTTTATATAAAGTGTCCATACTGTTTAATGCAGAATACTTTTTTTCAAGCACTGCAGTATACAATTGATCTAAAAGTTGCTTGTTGGCAGACGAGGACATAAAACTATCATTTTGTTTAAATTACAATAATCTGAATGGTTCTTAAGTTCCTCTTTACAGTCCAAAATAAGACAGGAGTCTAAGACATAACTGTTCTTGTGAATATTAAAAAAACAATCATAAAAAACAAGGCTGACTTTGTTATGTTTGCCTTCTGCATGCATAGGAAACAGTTCCAGAATTAATGCAGAGTCAGACAAAGCCAATAGGTCTTGACATCAGGCAATGTAACTGTTCCTGGATTGCTTCCTTATATTCTTTTTAAAACATAGCAATAGCTTTATCTGCAATTTGAATCAAGTCACAGATACAGGGCTTTAGTCAAGGACAGAATGTGATCTACACAGCAAAAAGTGATAAGACAATCAAGTTTCATCCTATAATAAGGATCTGTCTTTGTGTAAAATGCTATTAGTTTTTACTAAACTGATACTTCAACACTTGAAAGAGGATCTGTCTGTCTGACCCACCTTATACTTCATGACATACACCTCTACCCCGATATAATGCGGTCCTATATAATGCAAATTCAGATATAACGCAGTAAAGCCCCGGGGAGGGCCGCAGCAAGTAGCGGGGTAGGGAGAGGAACCACTCCCCGCCCCAGCTCATCTCCGCCTCCTCCCCTGAGCGCGCCGCTGCAGCTCTGCTTCTCCCCCCACCCCCCCCAAGGCTTGCCAGGCCAAACAACTGATTGGCGCGGCACGCCTGGAAGGGAGGGTGAAGCGGAGCGGCGGCAGCACACTCAGGGAGAAGGTGGAGGCAGAGCGGAGGTGAGCTGGGGCGGGAAGCGGTTCCTCTCCCTACCCCAATATAATGCGGTCTCACCTATAACACGGTGAGATATTTTGGCTCCCGAGGACCGCGTTGTATCGGGGTAGAGGTGTACGTGGTGATAAGGCTTTAAAGGCTTGCCATCATATTTACTGGAAGAGGATTTTTTTTTGGAAGGGGGGGGGGGAGAAATCAATCGTAATGTCAAATAACTTGCTTCATAGTGCCTGTGTAATTGTGAGGCTACATTTCAGAGAGGATTATTGCACAATAAACTTTTTAATTAAGAGATCTTTAGGTCAAAATCCTGATTAAATTCCAGCTAAAAGTGAGTATGATGGTCTCATTTCACTTTCTAGCCAACATCACCACACAATTCATAATGATTAACAATCTCTGCTAGCTGCACCAGGAAACAGTAGTTAGACATTACTGTGATAGGTGCTTTAGAAATGCCACTAAATTAGACAGTCACAGTATAGGGACATTGGTCATTACAGTTTATTCAAACAGTAAAAGTACAGAGTTTCTTGTAGTTTGAAGGTTTCATGTAAGGATAGAGCTTCCTGAAGCTCAGAGTCCTTGAAGGAGATCTTTTAGGTATTCTATCCCAGAATACTGAAGGACCAACAGCTTAAACTTGACTCAATGTTCAAAGTGGGGGGGGGGGGAAGGAAATGATGCACTCTCAATAATAAAAAATAGAATAAAACATCTGGAAGAGCCTGATATGAAAAAGGTCTAACCAGCACAGTTTCTGCAAAGGAAAATTGTGCCACTAATCTATAAAATTATTTTAACATCCTAATAGAGCAGAACTGTATTGACATAATTGATTTAGCTCTTCAAAAAGTCTTTGACAAAGTCCCTCAACAATAGGCTGTGTAGGAGGTCCGGTGTTGTTTAATACATTTACTAATGATCTGTAAAGGGAAGCAAGCAGTGGCACAGCAAAAATTGCAGATGATAAAGTTATTTAGGTTAGTCAAATCCATAGAAGATTGTGAGGAACTTCAAAATGATTTAACCAAATTAGATGAAAGGGCAACATGAGTGCAGACCGAGTTCAATAGTGATACATGCAAAGTAATGAACAGTGGAAGGAACAATTTCAGCTACTCATACAGGGTTATAAATTAACTGTATCAACTCAGAAGAGGGACCTAAGCACCATCTCAGTGAGGACCTCTGCTAAGAAAGAGGTGACATCAATAATCGTTGCTCTTTGAGAGTTACCTCTGTACACTCACACTTGATGGATATCAGGTGCTGAGTTGCAAAACTGCCTTGAAATGCTGGTGTTATACGAGTTCAGCATCAGTTGGGAGTCCATAAAGATGTCTAGAATTCAGATTCTCTTGATTATTTGGGGATATATATTGACTAGTGTCGATGTCAATGGGGCAAGCCAATTCTTCAGCAAGGTTTTCATTTCATTATCCTCTGCCAACCAATATATCATAACCTTCACTTTGCTTGTGTTTAACTTCAACCAGTTCATCCTCATCCATGTTTTTATCTTATTCAAAGCCTGGGATAGCTGTGTGATTATGATGTGCATGCTGTGGCCACAAATCAAGAAATTACTTATGTATGTGCTTAAGACCATCTCTATATAGGAAAGCATGTCCTTAATCCCAATTTACTTCAGTGAGTTTTAGGGATGGTTAGCTAAATCAGGGCCTTGGTGAAGGATAAACAGAGCTGTTATTTGCATATTTGTTGGTAATTGAGCACGTTGAGTGTCAATTTCTTCTAGTGACTGCATGTAAATATTGAATAGGAGAGGGGAGAGAATTGAGCCTTACAGTACACTCCACATGTAAGGATTCTGATAAGCAAAGCGACAATTGTTCACCACCAAAGAAGCCCCAAAGAAAGGATTCAAACTATTGAGACGGTTTCCTTTGACTTCTACCCCATCTTTCCGATGAGATAGCAGCATCCTATGATCAACTGAATCAAACACAAGAGATCTAAGAGAGCAGATGATTGCTCCTTGTCCATGAGAACGTGAAGATCATCCATCAGCATCATTTCAGTTCCATATCCTGGACTGATATCTGATTGGGTAAAGATTAAGGTCACAGCCAGTGGACAGGTGCACTTTGGGACTGCTATTCGCTATCTTTCATATTAGCTTCCTCAAAAAGGGAGTACTACAACAAGTAGTAGTTGGCAAGGTTGACTGAATCTAGTGATGGGCTCTTCAGGATTGGGTAGACAACAGAATTCTTCATGGTGAGACCTGATTATAGGCATCTTTTACCAATATTGTGTAAAAAGGGCCATCCATAATGTTTATGCATTACAGGTCTGGAAGCAATCTTAAAGCAAATGGAATAAGGTCAGTGTCTCTTTTCCAACCAGAACCCCCAAGAGTCTTTATTTTCCCTGTTATCTGGTTTCACAAGCACTCAATCTTTCGGTCCCTAGTTAGTTTAAATTTACACTGTACCCCAGCCTAGTGAGCCAGTGTATTGCTGGCAATGCTGGAAAGAAGGATACTCCCTTCCAGATTTTCAAAGGTTCCTCCCACCAATTTAATAGGACAGGACAATAGTATGTAGTCCAATACCAAAGAGATCAGTAGGTCTTTTGACATAAGAGATTGCCACAGAGTTCCCATAAAACACAAGGCTATATCTGCCACATCAAGAAGAGTCTACAGGGAACATCTGGCAATCATCTGGCCTTCAGTAATGAGAGTTTGAAACTATTCCTTCTGGTCTTGAGGCAATTCAATAAAATGTGAGAATTTGCTGTAATTCATAAAGTCATATTTCACCATAAAGGCATAATAACTGGCAATCTTAAATTATAGAGCAGTTGAAGAATAGCTTTTGCAACTGAGACGGTCCAGGCACTTAAGTTCTTTATTGGAGGGGGTCAATCTGGACCAATAACACCTATTCCTTTCATTAACGGTATCAACTACCAAAGAGTTAGGGGTGGGATGGGAGAAAAATACTCTGAATCCATGGCCAATGCATAGTACTTTTTGTCAGCATGTGGGCGGAATGGTTGCCTGTGTTTCCCTTATCTTACAGGCTCATGATAGTAAGTAAAGCATCACTAACAGGCAAGGCAATCTTGCTCTGAGATGAGATATGCAAAATATCCACCCGGGAGCACTGTACTTGTATTTCCTCCAAGGGGTTCCACAAGGCCTCTAAGATTCTTTTCCTAACTTCTGTAAGATCTTGAAGTCACCCATGGAGAATGGGGGTAGGGGCATAACCTTCTTGTCTGGTGAGGAAGAAGATGTGTTAGATGAAAGTCTCTCTTCCTGGGAAGAGAATCCTGAGGTGCCAGTGGCTGTTGATTTGGTAGGTCCTCTTGCATGAGGGCACCTTATAGAATTGGCCACCATAAGGAGCACAAGGTGTCCAAAAAGAAAAATGCTGTGGGGGCATAAGGAAAAGGAGTGGGGCCCCAAGAATGTTCCTGCCAAGATTGACAAGTCAGTCATCAACTGGTTTCTGGGGTCTCGTCCTTGGGATATACCTTAAAGGAGGAAGGCTGAACGGGAAAGTGGTGGAAACCTGGATGGAAATGTCTGAGGCAATATCATCTAGTTCCAGTGGAGGAGCTATAGGTGTCAGTACCAGGTGAAGTGTCAAGTGAAGGTAGGAGGGAGGCGGTGGCAGATCCTTCCCTCCCTGTATATTCTTGTACTAGAGTATGAGAATGTGTAGGGTACAGGCACAGACCAACAGATATTGCTGACAAGAATCTCTGATTGAAAGCGCATGGACATGCACACACCTGAAGTGGAGCATCCATAGGGACAGTGACTCATAACCTATTAAGTCATTCAGTCTATCTTTCCAAACTACAAGTTACTAGTACTTGTGCTAAAGGAGACCTTTCAAGCTAAGGGGAAATAACCCAGGTTTCCCATCAAGTTCAGCACCACAGAAACAGACTGTACAGATTATTGCAGTGCTCTTTTTCTAATAGGCCTTAGCCAAACTGTGGTCCATAGACAGCTGACTGGTCATACAGCAATGGCTCCCCCTCTTTATTTCCAGCTGTAAATCACTAAAAGGCAGATAAAAATATACTGAGTGAGATTTTCAAAAATGCTCAGTGTTGGCTTAATGTTGTTCAGTGTTGTTCTGCTTCCACTGAAATCAATGGGAGTTTTACCACAGACTTCAAAGGGAGCAAATATAGGCCAATGCTGATCAATTTTGAAAAATCCACCTTAAATACTTTCCCAATACCACATATAATATAAGTGTAATGTGATGCCCCCCAATGGCTCGTTGACAGCAGGGATCAAACCCAGAACTCTGGGTCTAAAAGCAGAAGCCTCTTCTGCCTGAGAAAAATGACCCAGGTCTGTTAACTTGCAGCCAATAGCAAACTCATCAATCTGTATGTGTGGCGCACACATTAGAGGGGTTTGAGTGCCATAATGTAGGATTTAAATATGCAAGTACTGTAATTTCCACTGATATGTTGTAAGATCATAAATGGGAGGTGTGGTGGATACATTCTACAAAAAAGTTTCAAAACTCCTGAGTTACAATTACTGCTGTGAATGTAAATTCTGAAATTATTATATAGATACCTTGGATACAAATGAAGCAGTAATGGTCCAATATTCTTTTTTATGTCTAGCTGAATTTGCAGAGACAACTTGAAGATCGTATGGATTATAGGGAGCCTTAGGGTTGTTCCTGCTTCTTCTGAGACAATATACATATTCTCCACTATCTTTCAGTAATAAAGGTCTCTGTTAGCAAAGGATACATACATTAAGTTACTGCACCACTTACTTTTCATAATTACAAATTGATTATGTACTTTACCATAAGTAGATAATAAATTCAAACAGACTGACTAAAAACAGAATGATGAATAATGGCATCAGAATTAGCTGGAAAATTACTTCTTATTACTTCATATAGCTCTTCAAGTAGCATGAATCCAATTAGCCTTCTGTTCCATGACAGGAGAGTTTTTAAATGTTCACAGATTCCAAGGCCAGAAGGGACCACTGTGATCATCTAGCCTAACCTTCTATATAACATAAGCCACAGAATTTCCTCAAAATGATCTTTAGAGCACACCTTTTAGAAAAACATCCAATCTTGATTTTAAAATGGTCAGTGATGGAGAATCCACCACAACCCTTGGTAAATTGTACCAATGGGTAATTACTCATACTGTTAAAAATGTACACCTTATTTCCTGGCTGCATTTGTCTAGCTTCAACTTCCAGCCATTGGATCATGTTAGATCTTTCTCTGCTATATTGAACAGCCCATTTTCAAATATTTGTTCCCCATGCAGATACTTATAGACTGTACTCCAGTCACCTCTTACCCTTCTCTTTGTTAAGCTAAACAGATTGAGCTCCTTGAGTCTATCACTATAAGGCATGTTTTCTAATCCTCTAATCATTCTGGTGGCTCTTCTCTAAACCCTCGCCAATTTAATAACATCCTTCTTGAATAGTGGAAACCACAACGGGACACAGTATTCTAGTAGTGGTAGCACCAGGGCCAAATGCAAAGGTAAAAAAAAAAAAAACAGTTACTCACCTTTGTAACTGTTGTTCTTCAAGATGTGTTGCTCATATCCATTCCAATTAGGTGTGCGCACACCGCGTGCACGATCGTCGGAGAATTTTCTACCCTAGCAACACCCGGTGGGTCGGCTGTGGAGCCCCCTGGAGTGGCGCCTTCATG